CTCAGATTACTACAACAAATAATTTATCCAATTTATAAATTCCAGACTGAATCACAACAGTAGCCTTATTTGGAAAACTTGAACATATGGATTCCTTGGCTCTAGGGTTTCTGCTGGAGTATAGCTGAGGAATCTGAATTTTTATTCAAGTTGTCCCAAGTAATTCTCCCAGAGGGTCAGGCCTGTAAAGCTCTCAGTCAGGGCTCATTACTGATTGCACCTCAGGGTTGCAATGTACCTGTGGCATGGCTGGGCTTCCAGAGACTGATTGTATTTATTTGGGTAGAAGGTTCTAGAAAGTTGGACTTTTATTTTCAAGACAGGGTTTCTGTGTACCCCTGGCGGTCCTGGAACTCGCTTCTGTAGATCAGGCTTGTTTGGAACTCAGAGATTCATCTGTTGGAATTTTTTAAAAAATTATTTACTTTGAAGTTTTCCTGCAAGTATATATTGTATATATATTGAACATATTCCCTGGCCTCCCCCCTTCTCCCTCCCACTCCTGATAGCCCCTTGTCCCCTTAAACAGTTTGTTCCTACTTTCATGTTATAGATGCACACGTGGTTTTACGTATTTACATAAAATCTAGGAATCATAAAGGAGAGAAAACATCAGATATTTTTCTTTCTGAGACTCATTTAATTCACTTCATAGGACACTCTCTAGTGCACCCATTTTTCTGCAAATGCATGAGTTAACTCTTCTTTATGGCCGAGAACAATCTCATTGTATAAACAAACCACATTTCTCTATCCATTTCTCAGCATTTTTTTTGAAAAAGGTTACTGTAGCCCAGGCTGGCCTCAAGCTCACTAAGTACCCGAGGATTGCTTTGAATTCCTGATCCTTCTGTCTCTGTATCCTGATTACTGTGATTACAGATCTGTGCCACCACACCTAGTGTCTTCAGCATTAGAGGCTGTCATGTGACTCTAGGCATAGTAGAGAACCAGCAAAAGGTGAAAACCCTGACAACCAACTACCTTAGGAAAGGCAGTAATGGAGTGTGACGTGAAATGGAGCATCCTGGCCATTAGGACCCCAGAGACCATTCCACCTAGAGGGCCCCCATCACTTTGCTGTTTCAATCAGGGCACTTTAGGACTGGTAAAGAGTTGCTGTTTCATTTTTTGTTAACTTTTTACTTTGCTAAGTTAAGGCACTGAAAAAGAATTCAACTCAGCCACCATTTATCTGTACCATTCTGTAATTTGTTTTAAATGATGGGGCTGGAGAGATAGCTCAGAGGTAAGAGCATTTGTTCTGCTCACAAGGATCAAGGCTCAGTTTCCAGCAACCACAGACCTCACAACCATCTGTGACTTGAATTCCAGGGGATCTGACACCTTCCTCTGGACTTTGAGGGCAGCAGACACATATGTGGGGCATACACATATATGCAAGTAAAACTCACATACACACAAAATAAAAATAATGCTTTAAATGAGGTTTTTTACATTTTATGTATAGAACAGACCTGAAGTAAAGCTATGGCAGTTCTTATGTAGAATTTATTGATTTGAGAGGAACTTGCTTCGTGGTCTTAGCCTCCCTTCATTGTGGTTCAGCTGGCTTCCAAGCCGAAGTTAACCTTCGCAGCTGAAGCAATTGAGATCTGGGGAAGGAAGGTCATTGGCTCTGGCTCTCAGACAGCAGGGCTGGGACCAGAACTTATTCTAAGGATATCAGCTCATATTGATGTATAATGCTCTGGTGACAGGCCTGGCACCCCTGTTCTTCCCATATAACATGTAAGGATTAGAGTCACTGGGAATGGCTGCCCACTCCCTCAGCCATGCTCAAGCTCACTTAGAATGGTCACCACGGTAATTGACAGGTTAATGGCTCTGTTGGGTAGGGTAGTACCATCTCAACATAGTCATTGCTGTGCCTACCTGTGGATGCCTCACTTGAGAAGCAGGAAGATGGTGACTTCAAGGTCAACCTGGGCTATGAAGCAAGGCCTTGTCTAGTGACAACTAACTAAGAAGGTAAAATCCGAAACCTCTAGCAACAATAAGATGTGGAGTACAATTATGTGGGTCTTTGGCATGGCAGAGGGGAACTTCAGTTGTAAAATATAAGAGCATGTTGCTGTTCTGTCCCACCAGGACACTGCACTTCGGACATTAAAAAAAAATCTGTGAAGAATTAATTTTCTGATTATCTCCTGCAGAGTCCAAGTATCTTCTCTTACCATGTTATTAATTTTAATAAGTAAACAAATTGGCTAATTCTCTTGGAAAGGCTTTCATTGAGGGAATGGCCGTTTTATTCAGTTCTCTGGGAGAAGGAAGAAAACAGACTTCCAAATGCATTGTCAATAAGTAGGGCATTTGGACCCTGAGATGGGAAGTGGACAAGATGTGCTGAGCTCTTGGGTGCAGATGCTCAAGTCAATACGTGAAGAGGTGAAGCCGCAGTGGTTTTGGCACAAGGCTTGCTTCCTTGGGACAAGTGCGGGACTTTTGAAGGGCAGGCCTAAATCCAACTTGGATCTCAAGTCTACCTAAAGTGGTCAAGTTCACTGCCTTGACCTGAAGAACAGTCAGGAAACAATCACAGGAAGGAATACGCTACCAAAGGGCAGGGCATGACCTAGTGTCCCCAAACACATGACTGGCCCGCAGAGATTGTAACACCTAATTTGTTGAAACGAAGTGTCTTTTAGGGACCCAAAGGCATTTCCCTACATTGCAATCAAGTGGAGATTTGGACTAAACCAGGGCAGTTTTGTGGGGGTGGGGTGAAGAGCCTGGGAGCAGTCAGGAGGGACTTGTGTCTGCCACGAAGCCATTGGATAGCTGCCCTAAAAATGGGTCGCGGAGGTGTCCTCAATGGGAGGAGAAACACAGAACAGAAATGTCACCAACCTCATAATTTGGCTGCTTCCCTGGCCCAGCCCTCTTAAACCTATTTCCTGGAGCCAAACTGCAGGTTTAATATCCCAGCTGCAAATTCCCCTGGACATCCTGGCTCCTTAGGGATCCTACCTACCAAGGGTAAAAGACAGAATGAGTCGAGTTTCCTTTAAAGTCATCATCTGGCTTCAGTGTTGACCTGTTTCCTCATTCTAATTTAGTAGGATAAACCCACATACCTTAAAACTATGCCCCGCACCACAGAGGTGCTGTGACCCTTTTAAGTACTGTCTGAAGGGAGGTGAGTAGCTCCCAGCTCAGCCAAATTCCTGCCCGGCAGCACCTCTGTCTCACTGGACTAGAAGTGGGACAGGATACCTCCCTGCCTGTCACTGGATGACCACAGAGGCTAAAGCATGAGCAGAATGTTGAAGCCAAAGTCCTTATTTTTTGGTTAGAGGCAACTGGAGCACATGGAGATAAGTGACAGGTCTCCAGTGTCATCAGCCTGTGTCATAGCTGGGTCCAGAACAGGATTCTCCCATCATTAAATCATACTGACTCTCAAGTGCCTGGCAGAATGTCTCCCTAACTTTAGGCAATAGTCTTATTTTGGAGAAGGGGGAAGAGGTCAATATAGATGCTACATGGCATAAGTAATTCATAGGGAATCAGTTGGAAGACCCTTGCTGTATGCTGCATGTGTATATGAGAGTATATAGGGACTCGATTAATAATATATGGTGGTTTGTGCCTCTGTGTCTCTACGCCTGTATGTGTTCATAAATATTAAATTAGGGTGAAGGGGTCACCAGGGTTGAGGAGATGGAGGATAGGCTGAAGGACTTAACTCCTGGCTCCTGAGCTCTGATACACACCCAGGAGAACCTACCCTCCACACTGGCCCAGGTGTGGGCCGAGATGAGGGCACCACTGCCCTCTACTGTACTGAGAGGTGAATCTGCTCCATACCAGCTTCCCCTTGGCCAGGGTGGGGGTGGGGACTGACTAAAAACCTGCACACTGGTCATGTCTGCCTCTTGAAGTCATTCCCCCACCTTTGATCTTCTTAACTTCAGGTGGTGGAGCAGGAACACTTGGTGCTTGGGGGCTCAGTTCTGAGTATTCAGCCATTGCCCCGGGGCCTTCCCAAGCCAGGTCTGAAGAGGCTGAAAGTTCTGGCAATTCCAACTCTTGTCTTCCTGGTCTTACTGGGGATCAAAGCTTAGACTATCAGAATGCTTCTTAAAGACGAAACCCCTATTGCCTTCGGCGAGTCTTCTCACTTGCAGGCACAGACACTGGGAGGAGAAACCTGCAGACCACTTCCCTGCGACAACTCCGGGCCTGGGCCCTGCATTTGCAGAGTTTATTGGCTGCATTCCCCTGGCTTGCCTCACAGTCTTTAAAACCAGTGAGCTACAGTAGAATGGTCATCATTCTTCTCGCTTAATAGATGGGGAAACTAAGGCCTGGGAGGTTTGCTGTCTTTTGATTGATTTAGAGGTGATTAACTAAGACAGAAACTGTACCTCCAGCTGGAACGGAATTCATCAGGCTTCAGATGAGAACAAATTAAACTTCAAAGTAGCGTCAAACAAGGCATTCAGTAATTAACTGGGTGATATGAGGGCAAATCTAGCTGTGCCACCCAGCCTTGTTCCCAGCATCTCGGGGACCTCAGCATATGACTGATTTCTGAGTTCTAAGACATGTCTGATTTTAATGGGGCCACCAGGGAGCCTCATGGTAGAGAATTATTTAACTAACATTTTTCTTTACATAATAAAATGTTTATAGATTTTTTTTTGGTCTCCAATTTAAAATGAGCTATCCTAATCTATAACTGCGAGGGCAAACATATTTCTGCTTCCCTTTTGAAACTGCAGAAACTGTCAGAAGAACCACCCAGGCTTTGGCAGTCGATGTTTGCTTTGGTGTTTACCCTATGTTAGCTTAACACTTTCTGCTAGCCCAGGCTAGCCCAGGGAATACAGCAGTGGCCAAGGCAGACATGGTCTTGGTGCTCATGAAGCTCACAGCCAATCAGGGGAGAGAGACAAACAGATCAGTGCCCCCTTGAGTATATTAAGAATGTACACTGTGGTAAGTGCCATGAATTGGAACTCTCATGGCAGGTATCTCTCTGGTCAAGGCTTCAAAGAACCTTCCCTGGAATCCACAGACTCAGTGGAGATGGCCCAGCACGTGAACTGAGCCATCAAGGAGGAAAGTACAGGCAGTACCTTCTTTCTTCGGGACCTTCAGTGAACCAAGAAAATCAACATAGCTGCAGTACAGAGGGGAAAAGAAGCCAAGGTGCATTTGGTAAGGCCTGTCTGGCAGAAATTAATCTTTTGGCCGAAAAATACAGCTAGTTCCAGGCAGAGTAGAGATTAAAATATTCCCTACTTCTGAGGAGTCTTTAATCTCTAGTTGCTTTTGTTCCTCCTCTCTCTACCCAGACCTAAGGGTCCTGTGTGTTCACAGCTCTTCCCAGGGCTCCTCCCACCTCAGGCTCTGCTCTGCTGTGTCTTCAGTTAAAATCTCACTAACTCCCAACTAAGTCTCCCACACATGCATGCGCACACACACACATGCGCACATGCACATGCACGCACACACTCTTTTAGCAGATGAGGTCAATGTATGGCACAGCAGATGACACTAGCAAGTGGTGGGCTCTTGACGTACTGAAGCATGCCTGCCCGCTTCATGTTTGAGCCCAGCACCGTGTGACAGACTGTCCTACATTGGAACTGTTCTCCAACCTTACTGTCTAATATAGTGGCCACTAATCATACCTCCCTACTGTGACTCGAAAGTGGAAATTTTCAGTTCACTTTCATTTAAATTTCCATGGTATTTGGTTTGAGTGTGATTCGTCCTCCGCAGGCTCATGTGTCCGAATGTTTGGTTCCCAACTGGTGGTGCTGGTTTGGAAAACTGTGAACCCTTTAAGAGGCATAGCTTCTAGAGGAAGTAGCTCACTGGGGCTGTCAAGGGGTGGCCCTTGAGGTTTCATAGATTAGATCCACTTCCTGTCCATTCTCTTCTGCCACTCTGTCTTCCCCTCCATGATGGACTTGCATCCCTTCTCTAAACCCAAATAACCTTGTCCTCCCTTACGATGTTTCTAGGTGGAAATTTGGTAGGTGATGTGAAGAGTAACTAATACACACACAGCCATTGTGGCTAGTAGGTAACCGAAGAGGGCAGTGCAGCCCTCGTCATGTGTTTCCGTGTTAGAGTATGGCCCAGATATTCCAAGGGACACCAAATCGTTGGATTCTCATTTGAAAATTTCTAATTTAAAAGTGCTGGCAACAATTCAAATGTCAAGATGCATTTATGTCATTGAGAAGACAGAGTAGATAACTTTCTTTCCTATTTCTTCTTTTCAGCACTCCATCTATATAAGCATATGTTTATATATGTTTATGTAGTAGAAGATGGATCTGAAAAGTGGAGAGAATGAAGCACAGTCAAGATTCTGGGACCTGTTATGGATGCTAAATGCCCCCACCGGCTCATATGCTTACAACTTGGTCTTTAGCCTGTAGCACTATTGGGACTGGTGGGACCTTTAGGAGGTGGAGTCTAGTACAAGAAAGTTAGGTTGTTGGGCGCCAGCCTCTTAAGGGGGATGTAAGGGCCCTAGAATGTTAAGGGCCTTCTCTCTTAGCTTTCTTTCTAGCTTCCAAGGATAAGCAGTTTTGCTTTATGCCAGTCTTTCCCCCTATGCGTCCCACTACATGCCCAAAACAAGACAGCCAAGTGACTTTGAAACCATGAACCAAAATAAACTCTTTCTTCCTTTCACACTGACCATTCAGACATTTGGTCAAAGCAGTAGAAACCTATGTAACATAGGACCCCATATAGGACATGGTGCAATAGAAACCTTTGTAACTTAGGACCCCACATAGAACATGGTGCAATAGAAACCTATGTAACATAGGACACAATATAAGACATGTTGGTGAGTTCTCCAGGTTTTCTTTTTATGTCACACGTTCTAGGTGTGCAACCAAAGAGCACACCAGAAACCCTGACAGGCTAACTATCAAAGATAGCTTGCTTTCTCTGCCAAATATCGAGAGAGCACTTCTCAGCATAAGCAGCTTCCTGACAGTGCTTGTCTCTCATCAAATCCTAGGAGAAACTGTGTCGTTCCTCTACCACCAGTGCCAGTGAAGGCCAGGCAGAGAACACGACTCCTGTTCACTGAGGTGGCAGCAGCTCTGCTTGGGTGGTGTCAGACAAAGCCAAGAGGAGAACTGCAACTTTGCTTTTGTGAACTTAGGAACAGCAACCACAGTTCTTCCTTCCACACGCAACTCCACCAGCAGTGGAAACCGCTCAGGTTCTGCTCGCAGCAGTGAGGCTGCCCTTCCCTTTCTGCTGGGCTGCTGCTGGAAAGGCAGCAGAAAGTAAGTATCCCTATGGGCGAGATGTGTGCGGATAGTGTGGCAATGAAGTGGTTACTAATAAGTAAAGGGCCACACAAAAATAAACTCAGGAGCAGTATAGGCAAATGAAATGGGTCCCCTCCACACAAAACAAAGGAAGGCAACAAGATGGGGAGGATACCGGAGAAAAAAAAGAAAGATTGTGGGAAGAAAACAGACAAACAACTACAAAATAGAACAGGAAACAGAAAGCTAAGATTAGTGGATTTTTTTTCTTCACAAGGCTGAGAATGAGTCAAGGATAGCCACTCCCATTGTCCACGTCCAATGTAGCGGTGGGACCACATGAGAGTGATTTAAGACAGAAAAAGAAAAGAAAGGAAGAAATGGTTGTCCTTGGTAGATAGCATGATTGACTGTTTCAGAAGCTCTTAACGAGTCCTCAAAACTAAGTCAGACATGCCATGATTCCTAATAAATGAAATCAGTAAGGTCACAAGAAATCAGACCAACATCAAATGACTTCTGTAGTGGGCACATGGACCCTGCAGCTGAGCAATGCAAGGTACATTCACGCACAAAGAATATTTGGATATGAATCTAAGAAAACATATACAGGACTGCATTCTGAGTGCTGAGGAAGACCACGGAGACCCAATAAACAGAGGTGAGCATGTGCTATTGATTAGAAAACTCAACTTAGTAAAACTTCGCTTCATTACAATTGATAGACAGGTTTAACAAATTCCTATCAGTATTTCTGTAGTGCTTTCCTTTACATTGTGTGTGTGTGTGTGTGTGTGTGTGTGTGTGTGGAGAGTACACATGTATAAGGGTCCATGTACATGTGGAGGCCAGAGGTTGGAGTCAGAATCATCCTTGATGGATCCTCCACCTTATTCAATGAGACAGGGAACCTAGAACTTGCCAAAGTGCCTGCTGTTACTAGCGGGTTTGCTCTGGGGATGCCCTGCCTCTGGTCTCTAAGGCTGAGCCACCATGCCCATTTGGTATTTCCATGGGTCATAGGAATCCAGACTTCTGTCTTTATACTTATGTGTCAAGTATGTCAACCTCTCAGGCACCTTACCAGCCCTGCAATGTGGACATAGATAAGAATATTCCCAAAATGTACATGAAAAGGCAAGAGAATTTGACTAGTTAAGATAATTTTGGAAAAAATCAATCTATCCAATGTTGAAATTTATCATATAGCAGGGGTGTTAAGATTCTGTCTTACACTGGACAGTGGTGACACAGCACTCAGGAGGCAGAGGCAGGTGGATCTGTGAGTTCAAAGCCAGCCTGGTCTACAGAGCGAGTTCCAGGACAGTCAGGGCTACACAGAGAAACCCTGTCTCAAAAAACAAAACAAACAAACAAACAAAGATTGCATCTTAGTTATATTGGCAGAGAATAAACACATAGGTCAATGGGGCTGAGTAGAAAACTGAGAACCAGACCTGCAAAAACAAATCCCAGTGATTTCTGGCAAAAGTTTAAGAGTAATTCAGGGGATGAGAGCCTTCCCCAAAACCTGCACTGGAGCATCTGGACAGTGACAGTAGAACAGCAAAGCAAAACCTCACTTTGTCTCACATTTCACACAAAAGTTAACCTCAAATCAATCATGAACATATATGTAAGATATAAAGCTATCAAACTTTTAGAACAAAATATTAGAGTCGCGGTTTAGGCAGAGTTCTTAGACAATGTGTTACAGCACACAATCCATAAAAAGAAACACTGATAAATGGGGCTTCATTAAAACTGAAGACTTCTGCAAGAGGCTGTTAGGGAGACAGATAGACAAACTGTATATAAATGTGGCTACAGCAGCACATTCAACGGAGCTGGAGCACACAGCACAAAGAGTGCTAAAAACTCAACACAAGAAGCCCAGTTAGAAGACATCTCACTGACAGGATCGATAGGTGGACCTGCAGGCATATTGTCAATGTCGTTAGCCACTGGGGATGTTCCAACAAATCATAATGAGATGCTATGACAGCACCATCAGAGTAGCTAACAATAGAGTAGTGGAATCTCAATTGTTGTCGCTTTGGAGAAACTAGATCACTTACACACTGCGAGTGGGATGGGAAAATGGTCCATTTTAAGAAGCAGTAAAAAAAACAACTACTAAATGTGGGGCTCTGAGAGGTTCTGTGGTAAAGGTGCTTGGTGCCGAGACTGATGACCTGAGTTTGATCCCCCCATGTAAGGAGAGAACCAACTCCTGCACACATGCACTGTCCAGTGCATGAGTGTGCTTGCACATGCACACACACACTACTACTAATGATTATTATAAATTTAATTAAGAATGATCACTTTGAGTCAGGTGGTGGTGGTGTATGCCTTTAATCCCAGCACTCGGGAGGCAGAGGCAGGCAGATTGCTAAATTCAAGGCCAGCCTGACCTACCGAGCGAGTTCCAGGACAGCCAGAGTTAAATAGAGAAAGCTTGTCCTGGAAAAACAAAATAAAAAAAAACAAAACCAAAAGCCAAAAAAACAAATAACAACAACAGCAGAAGATCATGCTGAAGTCATTCGTTCTAAAGGTGATCTAAGAAGCAAGAGCAAAAGGCCAAAATACTGTTCTATCATAATTATTGTTATTGTTATAGTCATTCAGGAAATATCAAGGGGTACGGGATTTATGAGCCAAGAACCATGGATGAAAAATCAAAATACACAAACCACAGCAACAGGCAATATAGCCCATAGTTTACTGTAGCTTTTTCTCATATGGTAGTTATAGTTTCATCTGGTGTTGTAGAATTTTGTTTTGTGAATTTATCCTCAGTGAGACTTTAGAGGATCTCACAAAGCCTGTGTTGACAGGCTTCAGTAACAATGACTTTATACTAATCAGTCTGGGCACAAGGGGGAATTAGCAACTTAAGACAGTTTGCAATAGTAGAAGAGACCATGGGCTCCACCCTCAGCACTGGGGAGAAAACAACCCAAATATGCAAGCAAACCGATAAATAGAAGCTTTGCTTCTTTTGTTTTTCAGGGAAGGCTGCAGAGATTAGCATTCCTGTTCCCCAAGGCAGGCAACAGGGGGATCCTTCCACCTCACAATAATCTAGGTATGAATCCCAGCTGCTGCGCCTTCATCACTATGGGAGTCTGTTGTCTTCTGTTTCACGAGAGGCCTAAATTAATTGCTAAGTTTCTTCTTTGGTTTTTATCTTTCTCTTTTCACTTGTTTGCAAATTGCTTATGATTACCTTCTAGATTTTATTAACGTGTTTAGTGTTTTGCTACGTTAGACACAGCTTCCTTTGCTATTCCAATTACATATTTCAGTTATTAACATATCCTGGTTTCAGTATGTAACCATTTCCAGTGAACTGTGAAAACCTGGCTTCCATTTAATTCCCTTTATCTTTGCCAATTTTCAACACTAGTCTTGGAGGGCTTGTAATTTTATAAAATAAATTTTAAAAATAAAAACTCATCAAGAGGCAAATTCCATTGCTTATAACCCTTAGTTTTTTTTTCTTTCATCTTCCAGGGAGCATTGGGTTTCTGTCTTTTACCATTTCTTCTGTTTGACGAACCTCCCTTGCATTCTTAAGAGATATTCTTCTCGTGATGAGCTTCTACTTTGCTTTACTTGGGGAATCTTGATTTTTCCGCTTTATTTCTGGAGGACGGTTTTGCTGTGTAATATTTATGGTTGGCAATCTTTCCTTTTAGAACTTTAAGAAGATGTTAGCCCATTTCCTCTGGCCTCCATGATGAGAACTATGTTGTCATTCGGCTCGTTTTCTCCCTTAGTTAACTTCACATTTTTCTCTGACTTATTTCAAAATATTTTTCTGTAGTTACCTTCAAGAACTTTAAATATCGTATGTCTTGTTCTGGATTCTTGAACGTGGAGACAGTGTCCATAGGTGGGAAAAATCTCAGGCGTATGTGAGTAAAAACGCTTTCTGGGTTGAGCGGCCTGTCTTGACAGAATTCTTGCTGGTGTCCCCTGGACACTTGGTGTCTCCCGGGGGGGGGGAGGAGAGTCATAATCTCATTGGGGAAGACCAACTCTCCTGGACATTTATTGTGATCGATAAGAGTCCTTTGATTATTTTGTACTGCCATCAAACATGCCTGGTGCTTGACTCCCATTTGATTCAGGGGAGACAGGATGTACCCAGCTCCTTGGTTGGTAGCTACGACGTTGGGAATGCATTTCTCCCATTGGACGGGAGGTCAGGAGAAGCCATTCTCTACCCCTTCTCCAGTTCTGAAATCCCTAACTAGTCCTTCTTTCCATCATCCCCAATCCTTCAACTGTGTCTTCATTCTGTCTGAGTTTATTATAGCTGTCCTTAGCTGGGAGAGCTAGGAAGGAGTAGGTCCACACAATCTTGCCCAGACTGTCCATCCTCTACTCATTTTCAATGTTTGGAACTTGATTATTACCTAATCAAATTAACAGTTTTATTTATAATACTTTTTTTTTACAATCATTCCCATATAAAATTATGCACAGATTTTTAAATATTTCTATTTTCAGTTGGATATGATAGTTGTATAGAATATCTCCACATCTGTGTTTCATGTGTAATAATTAGATAAATATAATTGGCATATCTACATCCTCAAACAAATGCATTTGCTTTGTGTTGGGAACATTGGAAATTCTCTTTACTAGCTACTTCAATATATTCAACCAGTTGTGGTAAGCCATATTATCCTCGTGTGTTCCAGATCACTGGTAAGCTATTCCCTCCTGCCAGCTGTACCTTTATCTCTCCTACCCCTGTGCCCCCCACACCCCAACTCTTCAAAGACACTGGTAAGCACTTTCTCTTCCCTGCTTCTTGAGATCAGCTCTGTAGATTTTTCATGTAAGTGAAAACATGTAATTTCTGCCCTTCAGTCCCTGACTTTTTACTTAACGTAATGCCGCCCAGGCCCATCTGTGTTGCTGCAAATGACAGGCTTTCTCTGTGTGGCTGCATATATCCCACATTTTATTTTATTTATCAATTTGACAGTTGGTTCTATTATCAATCTATTCTCTAGAATCAACTCAAGAAGAGTTGATTAAATACTTGAGTTGATTCTGCTGTGTAGATTTTGTACGATACATTATTACTCATAATTCATCATACATGAGTTTTTTGTGGCTGCAACCCCCCCACTGATTCATTTAATAAGTTCTTTTTCCTTCCCATGCTGGGGACAGAACACAGGTCTCACACATCCTAGGTGAGTGCTCTACTCCTAAGCCATGTCCCCAACCTTGGTAAAAAAATATTTTTAAAGGATTTGAGGAACAGTTATGGCTGGAGAAATTATTCCACAAAGAGTGTTTCTCTGAATGTCTCTAAACTCACTCCCTTCGTGTCTAAAACAAAGTGACCGAATCAGCCTGGCGAGCCAGATGGGCTTCGAAAATACACATGGCTGAAAGGAGGGGATGCTTCTGCCCAGTAGAAGAGATTAGATGGACAGTTTGGAAGGTGTAAACAAGGGGAGGCAAACTTTTGCTGGTAGTTTTCTGCCCAGGTCAGAGAGGGGTCAAGACTGGCTGGGCTGGCTGAAGGGCACCTGTAGCAACTGCCTTAGTGACGGAGGAGGGCACACAGGGGTGGCCGTGTCTGCAGGGTCTCCACAGCAACACCACCCATGCTCCAAGCAGAGGAGCCTGGTTTCCTTAGAAATGATACCCAAAAAAAGGAAGGGAGTTCATGAGGAGTAGGTTTGCCTTGGTGAGGAGTGAAGAAAATTCTAGAAAGCTGAAAATACAGCTTTATTTGGCAAAACTGAGAAAAGTAGTGTTAAGCCATATTACATAAATGGCTTGGAGGGAGAGGATATCTGTAGGTATTTTCATGGTTACCTGGAGGAATTTTGTGTTTTAGGTAGGATATAATAATCCAAAAAAAAAAAAAAACAACAACAAAACTTTTCCTGATTTCCTGATGTAAGTGATTTTCCCCATTATATTTATCAGGTGGCAATTTTCTTCTGGGGGAAAAACCTGAAGGCTAAGAGAACAAGGAGGAGGCGTTTTGCCTGATGTGGAGAAGAGAAGAATTCACCTCTCACCCTCCCCTCTTTGGGTTGCCTGTGGGACCGCCATGTCTCAGCTTCTCAGAGTACAGAATCAGTAATCCTAACCCTCACTAAGAGGGGCTTAAATCGGAAGGGGTTTCTCCGTGAGCAACACTGTGAGAGAATGAACGTGACCAGATAATTCAGATGGGAATTTCAGACTTGGGGGACCGGATGGGAAGTTTCACGTAGAGGAGGTGGCATTTGGGAGGAAGACGCTCTGACTTTGGGTAGGCCTTCAAGAGCGGTTTGGGGATTGTAGAATGTTGAAACAAGCTGCGTGGAAGTTTCCGTTTGCCGCTCCTGGGCACGGCATTCTCTCACTCCACTCGTGAGAACAATCTAGGCTGAGTCTAAGAGCTTTCTCATCCTCAATCCACTGGCGAGCCCTGTGAGAAACAGTGAGGGAGGAGGCAAATGAGGCCAGGGTGGGTTTCATCTCTGTTGCCATGGCGTCTCCATTCCCTGCACACTGTATTCTCTCTAGACACAGTGCTCTGCTTCTGGATCATCACAGATACAGATCCCAGTACTGCAGCCTGGAGGTGTGTGGTAGCTGACCAGCTATTGCTGCTGACCTAGGTCTCTGCTTGCTCTGCATCTTATATTGGCCACAGTGTTATGAGAAATCCTTTTGTTAAACTATATCCAGTCAGCCACTCGTGTGTGTGTGTGTGTGTGTGTGTGTGTGTGTGTGTGTGTGTGTGTGACTGTGTGTGGCTTAGTTTCTTCAATACGCTGACAGACCCACCTGTCTAAGTAGGTGATGTAAAGCATGTATGCTCCTCTTTCTGAATGCTGAGAATTTCTAAGGACGATTCTTCAGAAAGGTAGAAAAACTGGTCAGTACCTATGAGCAAAAACTTGCTTCTTAAAAAAAGTGTTTCTCAGAAGAAATCTCAGTCATTGTTACTTCATTATCAAGAGTAAAGAAACCAGACTGTAAACCAGAAATCAATTCTTGTTTGTATCATCTCCTAAAAATGTAACATTGGGCATCAGTAAGGTAAACTGCAGAATCTCCCCCACACTGAAGAGTATGGAAAAATACGAGAGAAACACCCCAGAATCAGGATCCTTGGGCTTGCTTTGATACATGCAGCCTAGAAAGAAAGACCTCTTAATTCTTTTAAACTTCTCCACATTGATAAAATATAGGGATTAGGCCGTGTGGTTCTTAAATGATCTTTTAGCTCTAATAGGTTGTATTGGGGGCAGAAGGAGGCTGTAATGTAGTTTATGAATAAGGAAGAACTTGTCTATATAGTGAAGACTGGGGAGTGTGGTGCAGGGATGGGGGTACAGGGGTGTGGTATAGGGATGGAGTTACTGGGGTATGGTTCAGGGATGGGGTACTGGGGTGTGATACAGGGGTAGGGGTACTGGGGTGTGGTTCAGGGATGGGGTATTGGGGTGTGGTTCAGGGATGGGGTACTGGGGTGTGGTTCAGGGATGGGGTACTGGGGTGGGGTGCAGGGATGGGGTACTGGGGTGTGGTTCAGGGATGGGGTACTGGGGTGTGGTTCAGAGATGGGGTACTGGGGTGGGGTGCAGGGATGGGGGTACCGGGGTGTGGTTCAGGGATGGGGTATTGGGGTGTGGCACAGGGGTGGGGGTACTGGGGTGTGGTACAGGGATGGGGTACTGCAGTGTGGTGCGGGGATGGAAGGATCAGAGAGTGGGATGTGTGGATGAAGAGGACTAGAGAGGAATTTTCCTTGGATTAGTCTTAAACACAAAAGGGAGGTGAGGAAAGGCACTGAAAAGTCAATTTTGAGGAAACAGAGAAATTTATGGTGTGACTTGGGATGTTGCTTGATGGTGCAGAAGCAGAAAGTAATGGCATCTCTCCATGGTGACAAGAATACCAGCTCCAATTTCAGTTCATACTGGCACCAGAGTCAAGCAATACTTATTTAATGAGCTGTGTGCGATTCTATAAGGAAAAGTGTAGAGGCTCAAAGTTTGGGGACATGGCTCCTCCTAGTTAGTTGTGTAAACCTGACTGCCTTCTTTCTTCTTTAAGTTCTTGAGTGAAGCTAGAGGATACTTTGTGACTATAAGGTCACTTCCACCCTCAACTCCTAGAAGCCTATAATTCAGGCTGTGATCTCAGGTATTTAGGACTTTCCAGAAGGTAGGATGCTGGCTCCTACAAAGCAAGAAGTGGTGTCATAGACTGAGACCAAGGAAAGGACACAGGCGAGGGAGAAGCAGTAGTCACCAGCACCCCTCCCCGAGCTTTCTGTTATGCTCCAATGGCGTCTTCGTTTGGAAGAATAGTGCCACATGCATGGCCCTTCGTTGTAGCGATTGACAAACAGCCAGGGATTTCTTTCTGTCCACAACAGACGAAGCTTTTGTGGGACCTACAGCACATATGAAAATATAAAACACAAAATATCTTAATTTCTAAAGTTTATAAGGCACGTGGTTGTGTACACACAGTGTTTGGGCTTCTCCTGGAGACTGTAAGGTGCCCCATCTGCAGAAGGGGACTGAAGCTTCAGCTGACTAGTCTCCTAGAGGACTTCCATCCAGGTGCTGGGAGAAGCCCATGCTTCATCTCTTCTAAAGTCATACAGGCTGTCCAACTTGAGTTAGCACACGGACTAGAATTAGAATTGTTATCTGCCACTTTATGCTAAAAGATTCCCAAGCCTGCATGTGGTGTGACACACCCATTTCTGCCTTGCATGAGGACTGTGAAAGAGCTGTCAGCAGGGAGCTCCCAGCGCCTGGCTTCCCGGGACTACCAGAACCCTACCATCATGGAGAATGTATGGGGAACAAAAGGCCATGTACAATATAAAGGAGACCTTGGGGACTGTTTGTTACCACAACGTACTTTGGCCCAGCCTGACTGTAACAGTGAGTGCTCATGTACTTTCTCAGGTAGCGTGGAAATGCAAATCGCTCTCAGAAAGGCTAAGTGTCTTCAGGAAAGGGCAATAGGTGGCCAGCCTGCAATGGAGCCCAGACAGCTTGGCAAGTGTGGTCCAGTACTCATTCGCTAGGCACCCACATTTCCCATTTCCTCCATTTCTCTCCCTGTGACCCCTAGTGAAGTCTCGATGTCCCTGGAACAAATGCTTCACATCCTTTTGCACAGTCCAGCTAGGTCTCTGCAGAGAAACATTATCATCAGACAGATAAAAATCCCCAGAGAAGGGCCTCAGGTTCTCTTTTCTGGAATCCAGATGAATTAGAAAAGGGTGTATTTTGAGTATAAAAAATGCACCCACAAACACCTCGTGTATTTCAGACTGTAAGCTATACATGCATAGGGTATGTTGCCAACCACACCCTACCCCATGGAAAACTGAGTCTTGAGAGAAGTTGCTTTAGTTTAAGTTCTTAGTGACCAATAGACTCAAACCAATGGACTTAGGGAAAACAGGTATCTCAAGGAAAGACTCATTCCAGGGAAGCGTAATAAAAACCTCTAACTGCACTCTGCTTCCAATGTCCAGGGCAAAATGGGGGAAAGGGATTCCCATTGGTTGAAGGTGGTTGATCCAGGGCACTGATGGAAACATATCAGGACTCCTAGCAGCTTATCTGGAGGGGGATCAATAGGCTTGAGCTGAAACAAGGCCCATCGGGAAAGTGAAGAAATATTGCCTGCGGAATTGCACTGGACAGCATCTCACAGGTCCTGTCAGCCGCCTGCCCTGTCCTTGATTCAGGAAGACTTTGTCAGATTGAAATTGGCATGCTGGAGAAGCTATCAGACAAGTATGACTTCCTCTTTGTGAGAACTGAAGCCTGTGAACCCTATGGAGGGCTTGAGAATCCTTTTACCCACAGGTAGGAACTTGAGAGCCAAGTATTCTACTAGAAGACACTTTTCTGTTGGCTTAGGCCTCTGCCCCCATACACACTTCTCTCTCTTTCTCTCCTTTCTGTTTTTTCATTTATTTTTATTTCCCCAAAGTCTATCATTTCATAAGGTTTTTCCAGACTCCATCTCCTTAAAGCATACTTCAGAGAAACTCACAGAATCCGAAACACAAGCTAGACCAAGAAGCAAGCCTCAGGAAAATTGGATATGTTTTCTTTTCACTACTCCTTTCTCCTAAAAATAAGTAAATTTCAACACCAAATCGTTCTTCATTAATAAAATAATACCCCATTATCCAGACTAGTGAGGAAAAATATAGTGTTCTGTTAAAAGGAGGCCGTTATTTAGACTTCAAGCAGATTGTCAATGCCTGGCTCATTACAATTCAGAGAAATGTATTTAGAAGGCTGAGGTTGTGCTTCTGGCATTTTCGAAGGTCCATTGTGGGCTGGTGGGTTCATTAACTTGTTATGTTCTGAGTGAATCTCATTATTTAGGACACCAACTGGGTGAATATAGGAGGCTGAGTTGAGCCTTTGCTGACACGTGGAAACCCCTGACGGGGGGATTTATATATATAATCTGTCTGATGTACGCTTGATTTCTTTGACATTTCTCTCTTTCATAAGAATAAAAGGCTGAGAAAAAAATGTCTGTTTATTTTAGATTTACTTTTGTTCGGGTTCCGGGAAGCAGGAGACTTGTAATCTTCTGGCTTCTTACTGTCTTTCCAGCAATTTCCCCATCTATGATTTCATCCATCTTTCTAGCATCCTAGATGGCTAGAAACAGACAGCACAGCCTCATTCCTGCAAGTGGAGCGCTTGTCATAAGGGAAGTGTATTCTATTCTGTCTCCCAAGCTAGAACTCCTCTGTGTCTTCATCCGTTGCTTTGTGTCAAGAACTCAGGGATACAGAATCCTCTCTTCTTCCTAGGACATGTCCTAGCTCTCTAACACCTGGGCCAATGGTTGCAATCAGGAGGGCTCTTTTCTAAAGAGGAGCATGGTGTAAGAGAAACATTTATTCAGAAGTTGGAAGATTGAATCTCACATCCTAGCTTCACCTAAAACTTCTTAGCCTTCTGCCAGGAGCCACATACTCAGATTTCCCTGAGCCCAGTCTCCCTCCTATAAGATGCCTTAGTCATCCCGCCCTGCCAACTGGGAGAATGTCTAGTGGGGAACAGACTGCAGTTGCTGGCAGGAAGACTTGCAGGGCTATCTGGATGGGAGAGATGCTCCTTTCCTTGTCTTTTGGTCCCAATGGTGAGGTTTCTTTCAGAGAGTCTGGCGCTGGGAGGGAGGCGTTTTGAGATTTGCCTGAAGTTTAGGAGTTTGAAAGCATCTGGCTGTCCAAAAATGAAGCATCTGTGAACTTGAACCCACAGAAGCTCAAGCTCATCACTAAATAGAAGGTTGGCGTGATATCTAGGTCAGACTGGGATAGACACACGGGGAGCTCCTAACCTTACTCCTCTGGCCTGCTCTCCCCATGCAGGTGGTCCAGCCTGTGTAGTTTGCGAGCCCTTAGAAGGTGCTTCTGTGCGCACTCATCACCGTGCCTTTCTGACTCCATCATCAGCCTTGTTCTAAAGAGCTCTGAGCAGCGAAAGAAGTGGTCTAGCCATGCCGCCCACCACAGCAACTGCTAGCCACAGGTAGGTACTGAATACTTGGAATGTGGCTGCTGTGATGGAGCCACCGAATTGTTAATTTAATTTAATCAACATCGGTTAAATAGCCACCTGTGGGCACATGGACTGGAATCCTTTTCATTAAGTTTCAGTATGCAGAACACTGTTCAGTTGCTTCTGTGTTATTATTATTTTGAAGCAAGGCCATATGGCTAAAGATGGGTTTTGGCATGTGTGTGGGGACAAGGAAGGGGAGAGAAGAGGATGCTTGCCAGCAAGGCCAGCTTGGTGGCTCTCAGGAGACCTCTAAGGGAACATCTGGCTCTGTCTTCAGGTCCAGAAATGCGGTTTTTCAGGGCTTAGAGAGTCAAATTGAACTTTTGAGGCGGGAGCTCTTTAATCAAGCTCCCCAAATGGATGCGTTCAGCCAGAAAGCTAACATGTCAATGTGCAGGGAGTCTGGGAAGCTCCAACTGCTAGGCACTGGGTGAGGGAAGGAAATTCGAGGTCTAACACAGAGGTAGTTTGATGAGTGTGCATGCCCATGGAGCAAGTGACCTGAAATCACTCAGATGGCTGATGGGCGTGTGGTCATTGCACAGTGAACCTTACGCATCCTGGGAGGGAGGCAGCTCTGTTCCTAATGGCAACCCCTCCCTCCCCATGTCCCTACCCCAGAGTGATTTGGTAGTTATCAGCAGTTTTGTTTTGTTTCACTTTGTTTTATTTTTAGACAGGGTCTTGCCAGAGGCTTAGGTTGGCCTTGAACTTGCAACCCTCGCGACTTCAGTCTTTCAGTGCTAGGATTATGCTTGTACGCCACCAAGCCTGGCTATGGCAACAGGTTTGCTCTTGACTCCACTTTCTTTTCTAAGTTTTTGGGATTGTTTTAACGCCATCATCTAAGAAACCTGTAAACTAAAAGCTTTCCCCTACAGTCAAAGCACAACTGTGTCAATATAGATATCAGATTCCAGCCTCTGTTTCAAAGACAGCTGTGCTTTTAGAACTACGTCCACACCTGGTGACAAGAATGAAGGTGCTCTCAGCATACGTAAACCTCACATGATCTCATATGATTCTCTTCCTAATACCACTGCACAAAGAATCAGGTCTCAGTGTAAATTTGGGGACAGTTGACAAACATTCAGTCTGTTCTACACACTGATGCGTTCTTTAGCTGTATCACACATATAGCCAGGTCCCTGGCTTTCACTGCACACTTTTAGGGGAATGTACTTTTTAAAAAATTACTTAGATTGAACAGTCCTGAGTTGGTGTTACATTTTTATTGGTTCAAATCCTTGGTGGCCCAAAATACTGATTGCCTCTGTTGCCTGTGAGCAACTGCATATTGGTTAGACATCAGTAGCCACATGGGCCCCTTGATAAGAATTTTGGCATAAAGATTGATCACTGAAGTACTTCTTGGGGCCCATGATGGAGTGGTTGCTGTGGCACACTTGGTAATGGATAATGTGGTTCAGATTGTGAGTAGACATGCTGGCATGTAGACCCAGAGACACCAGGTCTTCTTGCTAAAGGAAAAGTGAGTATCTGGATATTACTATGAAGTCTGCTGTTTGGATCATGAGGTGTCTCCCAAAAATACTTGCTTAATGGTCTGGTCTCAGGCCTGTGACACTATTAGGAGGTGGTGGGGCCTTCAGGAGATTGGGTTTAGTGGAAGAAGGTCAGGTCATTGGGGGGGGGGTGCCCTTGAGCAGGACGTTGGGACACTGGCTCTTCTTGTTTTTACCATTTTCTCCCTCTCTTCTCTCACCTCCTCCTTCTCCTTTTCTTTCTTTTCTTCCTCTTCCTTCTCCTCCTTTTCCCTCTTCCTCCTCCTCTTCCTCTTTCTCCTTTTCCTTCTTTCCGGTCACCTTGAAGTGAGCAGTTTTGTTCCACCACATGCTCCCTGCCTTGCCTCAGGGTCCTAAATAATGAGACCAACCAAACATGGTTGACTCTGAAACTATAAGTCCGAATAAACCATCCTTATCTCAAGTATTTTATCACAATAATGGAAAGGTAGCACATCTACTAATTTTTCAAAGATAGAAACTGATTCAGTTAAAATGTGGAGTAACATGCCACACTGGTAGCCACAGCCTATGGCAAAATATAGACTAATAGAAATGGAATAATTTAAGATGTGAGAGATAGCTAAGAATGGGCCTGAGCCATTGGCCAAACAGTTGTAATTAATATGGTTTTGTGTGATTATTCCAGTGTGGGTGGCTTGGAAATGAAAGTGCAGTCTCTATGTATACTTTGTTTTGTAGATGGCTACTTCTCCTGCACCTACACGTGGCTTTTTGTGCATAGGCATTCCAGATATCTTTCTCCTCCTTTTTCCCCCCTTCCTCCTTCTTTAAAAAAATATTTCTATTTTTAAAGGTTTTATTAGTTCTTTGAGAGTTTTATACATATTTTGATCATACCTATCAGCCCCCACAATTCTTTCCAGATCTACCTTTTCCTTCTCTACCCACTCAACTTTGTATCCTTAAAAAACAAAACAAAACCGAAAACCAATAGGACCAACTTGGGCTGCCTAAATATTCTTGTATATATGGTCTTTTACTGGTATCTGGTTGATTTCCAGGGGCTTAAAGAAAATTGTCTTTTCCTTTCCCGGTAGCTGACAATTGCCAATAGCTCTATAGCTAGGGTGGATTGCATGCTCAACTCCCATCTCTATGCTGGGATTTGGTCCAGCTTGGCCTTGCATTGGTCTTATGTCTGCTGTCACAATTGCTATGAGTTCAGCTGCCCACCATGTCTGGAAAATATTGTTTCTTTGTAGTCACTCACAACATCTGGCACTTATACTCTTTTCATCCCCTCTTCTACAATGATCCCCAAGCCTTGGGAGGAGGGGATGCAGTATACACGTTCCATTTAAGACTGAGAATTCTACAGATTCTTACTTTCTGCACCTTCGCCAGTTGTGACTCTCTGTGTTAATCAGCATCTAATATTAATAGAAGCTTCTCAGATGAGGGATGAGAGATGCATGCATTGGTGGGCATGATGATAAATCATTAGTAGTTTATTTAATACTGGCCTATTAACCAAAATACTAGTAATAGGTTCTGCCCTAATGTTCATGACCTGTCTATCCATAGGTTCTTGGCCCAATAATAGTGCCAGATATGAGTTAAATCCAATCAGAAAGGGGTTGGTTACTCCCATTATATTTGTGCCACTATTGAACCAGTGGGTTAGTCTTGTCAGGTCATTAATTCTTATAGTTTATAAGTACCTGGGCATAGTTGATGGTTACTTTTCTTCTCTGGCAGCATGCATAGCACCTCGCAGCATGATAAAAGCTAGTCAGTAGGGATGAAGCTTTTAGGTCAGTACCAGTTTTATTTCTCCACATCCTATGACTCAAGTATAACTAGAGGCCTATAGTGTTCTGACACTGGGATTTTTATTTTGTTAGCTTCTGGTATCTATTAAGGGCATTGCTACCCCTTTATAGGGTAGCTCCATTTTCTCTTTGTGTGTGTGTATGTGTGTGTACATGCTTGCATGTGAGTGCATGAATACATGTGTGTAGAGGCCAGAGGTGAACAGGTGAACATAGGGTGTCTTCCTTGCTCATTCTCCATCTCATCTTTCAAGACAGGGTATCTCACTGAACATGTGTTCTCTAATTGACTAGACTGGCTGGTCAGTGAGCTATTGGGAATCTGTCTCAATTCGCCTCTGTACTGTGGTTTGTAAATGGCTATCTTCTCTCTGTGCCTACCTACCCCTCGTGCACAGGTATCCCAGATATCTATCTCTTCCTATTCCCTATCTCTCACCCTCCTCTTTTTAAGAGATGTCTAGCCATACATTTTTTTTTAAAAAATCACAGATGCACACAAGCATGTCCCGACTTTCTATGTGGGTTCTGGGAATTTGAACTCAGGTCCTTATACTAATATAGTAAGCAGTTTACCCAGTGAGCCATCTCCCCAGCCTTTTCTTCCACTTCATATAGGAGCACCTCTTATATGAATTAAATCCTACCCTATGGCCTTGCTTAATCCTACTTACCTTTCTAAGCAGTTATTTAGGGGTTAGAATTTCAGCATTTGCATCTGCCAGGAAAAAAAAAATCTATCTTTTACAATGATAATACAATCTGTGCTTTGTTAACAGGTCACTGAGCAAGTCCATTACTCCAACCTGTCTTTCCTCTTGCTCTTCAGGGTCCTTCTTTCCTCTGCCTTATTTCATCCCACCCTGTGCTTGGTCTCCAGTCTCTGTGGATGGAACCAAAGCTTCCCTGCTTTTTTCCTTTGCTTAGGCCTGGCTCATAAGGAGTCTAAGAATGGATTTGGAAGAATTGGTCATGTCCTTTCTCTCAAGGTCACATCTCTTGTCCTCCAGCCACTGTCACCAGGTTCCCCTTCAAGCTGTTGGTGGTAATACTTCCATGATTACTGACCACAGGACCTAGCGCCAAGCCCAGGACTTCCGTATTCCCTACCACTCTTGAGAGTAGTCTCTTTGTTACACTAAACTCAAATCACTCAGCCTGTGGGCACTGGGGCCTGGACTGGCATTGCCATGGTAAGAAGTCCCATTGATGGGTCATCCTGCTCACTCTCTCTTGAAGTCTCACTCTCCTTACTCAGTTTCTAGACAGCTCTGCCTCACCCTGAGGCTTGGCTGGCTTCCCTCAGGCCACATGCTTTCTTTCTGAGGTCAACCGCACCATGACTCTTGTTTTCTGAATGCGCTTGCTAGCGTCTACCACAGTTTTCTTAGAAGAAAGAGCTGGTTGGCTGGTATTGCAGTGAAATGTCCCCTATAGATTTGGATACCCGGACCTAATTGGTGTCACTGTAAGGTTGTGGAACTTTGTAGGTTTCTTGTTGAAGGAAGTGAAGGCCTTGGGCCGTTGTAGCCCAGCCCAGCCCGCTTCCTATTGAGCTCCGCTTCTGTTCCACTGGGATTTGAAGAGGTACCAGCTGCACACTCCTGCTGCTCTGGAGCCACCTGCCTTTGGGCCTTCCTCTCCATGATAGCTATGTCCCTTCAAACTGTGAGTCAAACACAGGTCCTTCCCCTTTAAGTTGCTTTTTGTCAAGTATTTGGTCCCCGTAACCAGAAACGTAACTGCCCAGATAAAGAGATGATGGTGTTTTGAGTACCTGTACCAAGCAATCAGGCGTTTACTTAAAGAAGAAAGGATGGCTTTGGCCAGTTTCTTCTCATGTTCACAGACCTCTGTGGGCACAGCAGGTTTCTTTCTTTCTCCGCATGTCTACACTGACATCGCTAGCTCCTTATAGTGATGTTCCACAGAAGATTCAGACACAGCCCTGGGTATTGATACAGATGGAAATCAATGCATGTGTCAAAGTCGGTAATGCATTCAACATCCGGAGAGAGCGAGGGAGACAGCTCCATGGATGATAATGTAACGTGAGATAGGGGTGAATGAAAAAGGTACTTCAAGAGCCTGTCAGCTGCAGAGCCTCGGTGGCAGAATGGGAAGGTATTTAAAGGCGAGAGAGCAGGCCTCAGGCAGCCTGGCGTTGAGTTACAGTTCTTTGCAGCTCTGCTGTGTCAGGCGAGACACTCTATTTCTTGAACTTTTGTTTCCTCGGCTGTAAAACGTAGGCTGTAATAGGTTGTCTTGTCAGTAATAAATGACATGTAATGCCAGTAATGGGCTTTGTCCAGTACCTGGCCTCTCCTGAGAGCTTAATTCTAGCTTTAGGGATTTAATCAAAGGTCTCGGGGATTTAATCAAAGGTCTCATGCGTGGTAGTAAGTGCTATAGCACCAAACTATATCCCTGAGCCTTTTTCCTTTTTATTTTGAAATAGGTTCTTTTTCTTTGTGATGATTCTCTCTCTCTCTCTCTCTCTCTCTCTCTCTCTCTCTCTCTCTCTCTCTCCCTCTCTGTGTGTGCTAGCGTGGAGATCAGAGATTAATCGCAACTATCATTCCTCAACAGCTGTCCACCTTGTCTTGAGCTAGAGTCTCTCTGGGATCTGTGGCATACAGATTGGGGTAGACTGGCTGGTCGCAAGCCCCAAGGATCTGTCTTTCTCTGTTTCCCTCAACTGAACTCAGGTCCTCATGATTGTGTGCCAGACATTTTGCTGAGTAAACTATCTCCCCAGCCCCTAACAATTAGACTTGATTGTCATTTAGGCAGGAGACATTTAGGAGACAAACTCTGGGCGTGTTTGTGAGGAGGTCTGGAGATTGGTTAACAGAGATGGGAAGCCCTACCCTAGGTCGGGTGGCACCATGCCATGGGATGAGACTTAGAACCAACAAACAGAAGGGAGATGGGTACCATGCTGCTTCTAAACATGTTTATTTATTTATGGGTATTTTGTCTTCATGTATGTCTGTCACCCACAGTGCATGCCTGGTGTCTGATGAGGCCCTGGAACTGGAGTTACAGACTATTGTGAACCACCATCTGGGTTCTGGAATTGAACCCAGGTCCTCCGGAAGAGGAGCTAGTGTGCTTAACTTCTGAGCCACCTCTCTAGCTCCTCTCTCTGCTTCTTGACTGGGGACTCACTGTGGCTACCCACCTCATGCTCTGGCCTCAATGCTGAATGAGCTAAATTATCTCCAACTGAGCCAAAGTGAACCCTTCCCTCCTTCAGTGCTTTTGTCTTTTTGTTAGTTTGGTTTTGTCTCCCACCAACAAGAAAAGTGACTAGTACATTTTTAGTAAGTTGCCCAGGCTGGCCTTGAACTCATTGTAGTCAAGGAAAGCTTCTAACTTGTCACTTTCCATTTTATTAAATGAGATTACAGGCCTGGACATCCAGGCCCTTGCTTCACTTGTAATTTAGCAAAGACTATACAAAGAAATGGGGATTTTGGCAGCCTTGAATAATGGGGCCAGTTTACGGGGAGAGGTACATGATTCTAGAATGCACATAAACATAGATAAAGGCTCAAAATAAGCATGATAGAAACTATTAACCTAGCATTTATAAGGGTTTTTTTTTTTTTTTTTAAGGAAAAACATTAGGGAAAGTTGGCAGAAGTCATACCAAGAGCCATGCCACTTAATACCAAGTGATGTGCTTGTAGATATTTTATAGGTATTGAAGAGTCACTAAAAGGTACGTGTGTGTGTGTGTGTGTGTGTGTGTGTGTGTGTATGTGTGGTTGTGGGCAGGTGGCTGGAGAGGTGACTCAACCACTAAGAGTATTGGCTACTCTTCCAGAGGATTCAGGTTCTGTTCCCAGCACCCACAAAGTGGCTCGCAACTGTCTGTAATTTCTGTCTCAGGGAATCAAATGCTCTATTCTGGCCTCCTTGGGTACAAGGCATGCATTTGACACACAGATATACATGCAGGCAAAACACCTATATACATAAAAATAAATAATATTTTGAATCAGAATCTTTCTATGTAGCTCTAGCTGTCCTGGAACTCACTATGTATAGCAGGCTGGCCTTGAACTCACAGAGATCCACCTGCTTCTGCCTCCCAAGTGCTGAAATTAAAGGCATGTGCCACCATACCTGGCCCAAGATAAATAAAATCAGAGAGAGAGAGAGAGAGAGGGAGAGAGAGAGAGAGAAGGGAAAGGAACAAAGTGGAGGTGGATCTGGTAGGAATTAGGAAGAGGAGTGTTATAAAATATGATCAAAATACATTGTATTCATGCATATGCTTCTCAAAGTATTCATAAAAATATATATTGAAAAAATAAGGAGAGTCAGGTGTGGTAGGGGAATGCCTTTAAACCCAGCACTTGGCAGGCTGAGGTAGGCAGAACTCTGTCAGTTTGAGGCCAGCCTGGTCTACATAAAGAATTCCAGGCCAGCCAGGGCTACATAGTGAGACTCTGCCTCAAAACAAAATAAAGCAAAACACCCCGCCCCAAACCCAAGGGGGCCAGACAGATGGCTCAGCAGTTCAGGATGCTTGTTGTTCTTCCAGAGACTCTAAGTTCAGTTGGGGTCTCCTTCTCTAGGGGAGGCTGATGCTCTCTTCTGACCTCTAAGAGAACTTGTACCCAAGTGCATGCGCGCGCGCGCGCGCACACACACACACACACACACACACACTTTAAAAATAAATAAATCTTAAAAACAAGCAAACAAACAAGTATGGTTATTTAATTAGGACTATGTTTCTTTAGATAAAATTTAACAAACTTTCACCCAGAAGTTTCTCTCCCTTCCTCATTTTTTAGTTTATTCATACATCTATTCATTTAATTTTGAGACAGTTTTGAATGCTATGGCCCCAGGTGGCCAGGAATTCATAGTCTAGTTCACTCAAGTCTTAATCTGCATTGACCCTCCAGCTTCAGTCTCTCTAGTGCTGGGATTACAAGCATGAGGCACCATGCTCTGCTTGCCCGGCAGTTTCCATAAATTGGCTGACAGTGGAGTGAAAAGCTGGAAAAGGGAAGCATGTGGTTGTATGTGTTATCCTTGGGGCAGGCATAAGACCTGCCTGATGAACAACTTGACATATATCCAGCTCACAATGTCACACAGAACTCACTTGGCAGAGGTAGCTCAGCTGAAAATGAGTTGAGCCACTCAAATCAGATGGCCATGCTTGACTTCAGTCCGAAATGTAAAGCAGGCACTCAGTCCTAGAACCTACCAGCAAAAGAGCAAGAACTCCGCTGTAAAATTCTGATTCTAACATGTATTTTTTTCCAGGGGCAAAATTACAGAGCCTACCTGTATTGCTACCAGTGGTGCTGGCATAGAGGTGTCAGGATTCATGTCTTGGTGATGGTGGGTGGGGTGCAGGGTTTACATATGCCTGCTCTTCCGTGGGTAGCCACACGGAGCATGTGGTACAAACTCGAGCAGCTGATGCCTGTCATCAAAGATCACATCTCCATGTTGTTCAGCCCCCCTTGCAGCTCCTGCCCCGTGCTGACGAAGATGCCTGCTAACATTTACTCGATGTTTTTTTAGATAGTGCCTTGGCTGGCATTTTCATTCGTGGGAGCTAGCTGTCCCAAATGTAGCAAGGGAGTGCCCCAAATCCACATACCAGACCAAGGAAGATACAGAGAAGGCTAGATAGTCCCCTGGGAAACAAAGGGTAGATAAGGGATGTAGTTAGGATGGATGGAGCCTGTGAGGTCCTATCCTCACATCTGGGAAGAACCTAATGCCCCTACTCTGATCTGTTAAAGGTGCGTTGTCCCTTTTGAGGGTGGAGGTGCTGGAGGTGTATACTGGAGGTAAGACAACTCTCTTACAGGCGTGAGTCTTTGATGAGAAAGGCCGAGTGTGTATACCCGTATCTTACACAGCCAATTAGAAAGGCTTGTAGAAACTTCAAAATATTTTGGTCCAAGGAGAAGGAAAATTAACTTCTCAATCAGAGGAAACCAAACCATAATTTTTTGTGAACGTTAATACGACCTTTCTAATTACTAATAATTTTCTCTTTTCTTTTTCCTAGTTACAGGAGCAAAACAAGTAGACGCCAAGGTGTTGAAGGGAGAGAGCAAAATAAAGGCCCGTGTTTCATTAAATCGGGAGAAACCTTTTCTAGGGCAGTTAAAGCTATAATAAGGAAAACCCATGTGGGTTTTTGATACCAAAGATTTGCCATATTTCAGGTTCCAAACTGTCACTTTGGTGGAAAGAGATTTTTTTTTTCTGGAACCTTAATGTTACAACAAAGCAAGGAAAGAACAGCATAGTGTTTAAGACCAGGGTTGAGAACCAGCACACTGGTAGTTACCCTGGCTCTGTACTGTGTGTAGGAGAGAAAGGAAGGTCCTGAGGAGGCTCTGGGGAATCTGTACAGACATGCACACTGTAGGCAAATGATTTCATGGATGTGTTTTTACAGAGAGCAGTTGACAGCTTTCAGAAGAGTCCTAAAATGTCTAGGAATGTCTCTGAGGTAAAAGCCAAAAGCATCCAATTATATCTCATATTTGTGTTTATGAGATACAAACAAATAGCCACTTTTAATATGTCATTAATGAGAATTCAAATTAATGGTCGTGTTATGCATTTTATCAAAGTGTTCTAACTTTGTAGGAAATATGTTTAATTAAGTAAAAAAAAAAACCAGCGTTGTTCTTTTCCATTGACTCTATTCCTTAGGGGAGCCTGAAAGGTGAAGAGAACATCAGTAAGCCGGGCAATGCCTGACAAAAGCTTATGCCATGAAAAGACGATTGCTTACCTGCCTGACACTCAGGGGTTCTCCCTGCATAAGACTGTCACATTCCTGTGCCAATGCTGCGTGTCACTCTGTGTGTCCCCATCTATCACCAATTGTGGCCCACTAACAATCACGGGGACAGGAGATCTGGGGAAGCCTGAAGTGTGGCAGCAAAGCTGCTGACTGAACCTTGGTGGCTAAATGCTTTATTCAACTTGATGAGGACAAGAACTGGGATTCTGTTAAAGGCTGAAGCTTCCACTGGAGAAATGATAGGTGAGCGTGTACAAAATTCTCTTCCTGCATGCCCATCTTCTGTATTTCCTGACTTCTCCTGTGCAGTGATTTGAAGAGCACAATGAATGAGTGAGTGTGAGGTGTGTGGCCTCACCATCCACGGCGAACATTTGATTCCTCTCCACTGTCTTCGACAGCTCGTGCAGCTGACATAACCCAGAAAACATGCGCTGTTATTTTGGTAAGGGTAGAAGAATAAGTATAGTTTTATGTCAGAGTTTCCCTAAGACCTAAGGTCAAGAAAGGCAAAAGGGAGTGACCCATGGGCTGTGATCTGTGGTATCCTGGGAGGTTCTAGGAGCCTAGGAAGATGGGGGCTCCAGAAGCAAGGAGGACAGCAGGGAACAGTCTGTCCAGTGCTGTCATCTTATCTTAGGGCAGAAGCATGAGCCAAGGTGTTGCTGACCTGAACAGAACCTAGACATGTGAGACAAGTGGTTCCCCAGCTCCAGATCCAGCTGCAGAGAGGTTGGAATGCCACACGCTCCCATTCTCAAAGGGCAGGCGTGAGTTCAGTGCCTATTTTCATGGGTGGGGCATAAGTGTTAGGGTGGACAGGCATCATGGAGGCGTTCCAGACAAGCTCTGTAGACTGACTCACAAGCATGTTGCAAGCCGGAATGAGACTGGAGCCGGCCATTCCTGCCTGTGCGCAGTAGACTTACCCACTGTCCTCATATTTTCTATTCCCAGGAGCTGTCCATGACTTTTGGAATTCCCCAGAAAGGACCTAAAAAACTTACTATTTTTGCCCAGGTGTGCTCTGCTGTGAGGAGGTCTGTGGGTGTGAAATCGGCTGTTTCATGGTCACTTTGGTAGCTATGGAAACTTTGCCATTGTGGCAAATACAGCAGACCTAAGGCATGTGCTGAGAAGTGTGACATCATTTAATATCCCAGCATCCCCTGTGGATGTCACTCTCCTTGCCTACATATGAGGGAACCTGTGAAAGAGATGTCAGCCTCCTTCATGCTGGGAGTAAGTGAAAGAATTGGAACTCAAATCTAGGCTGTCACACGTCGACTCTCATGCCTTTTTCTTTCTTTTCTTTTCTTTTTTTTTAAACTTTATTTAACTTCATTTCATGCACATTGGTATAACGATGTCAGATTCTCTTGAACTGGAGCTACAGACAGCTGTGAGCTGCCATGTGGGTGCTGGGAATTGAACCCAGGTCCTCTGGAGGAGCAGTCAGTGCTCTTAACCACTGAGCCATCTCTCCAGCCCCTCATGCCTTTTTCTTAACCCTTGGAATGAGGCATTAGGCTGTCCTTCACAGTTGCCCCCCCCACACACACACACATTAGCCAAACTCACCAGCTCAAAGGAGAAAGGAAGGAGCTGTCTTTGGGCATGTGTTAGAATATACATCACAATGTCAGGAGAGGGGTCCAAAGTAAACCTTACTCAATATTCTACTTTGCTGCCATTTGCTGCATGTCAGAAATAACAAAGAGTGGGTACCCTGGCAGCATTTTCTTCTTTAAATCCTATATGGAAGCTCAGCAAGGGGGGGGGGGGAGAGGAAGATAGAGAAGCGATTCATGGGGGATGTCTCAGCTACATCAAGAACAAAGTGAGAGGGTGTGAAAGCTGAATCGGATGGGCTGACCACACCTAATGCTAGTACATGATGTCCTTTCTAGACCTTAACCCCTGAGTCAGGGAAATACTGGTGATGGATAGGACAGCTCATCTCAAACCTAGGCTATGGGACCTTCATTCTTTAGAAATTTTATGTTATCCTAAATAAAACTGCGAGTGTCTCCTCAAATTAAAAGCTGAGAACACTCAACTTGTAAGTTAGCCAGCCAGTAATTCATTTTGTCGTGAGTTTTGAGGCTTCTTGTGTGGAGTAAAATGCAGGCTCTTAGTGAGCTGTTTAAATATTGATGAGAAGCTGAACACTGTTTTTCCAGCTCATGGAAGTGGATTTATGATGCTATGAAGCGAAGGTACATTGCGTTCTGAAGAAAGAAGGGGTGAAAATCTGAAGAGTGTCCCCCTTTCCAGTGTGTTATTCGTGAGGCTAAATCAACAAGTCTTACATTTTAGCATGCACTAATAAAGCCTGATCTTAGAGACTGGATATATGTTAGAAACTTGAAAACTGCGTTTCCAGGTTCTCTGCATGGTGATCTGAAGCCTGTAATGATCCGGGTTCGAGAACCGGATCCTGCTTCCATCCGCTCACCAAGGAAGTTTACACTGCAGGTTACCAGCAAAGACAGGAACCTAGGTCAGTGTTGGGAGCACCAAATCCATGACCGTTGTCTAGTTACAACTTGGTTTTCATCCATTGGCTGTGAGCTATGCCTGGGCTCCCCCACCTAATGCTTTTCTTACGGAGGGGAGCAGAGAAGAATATTTAGCACAATAAAAACAATAAAAAAAACCCACTGTTCTAATCAATTACATCAGAAAGAAACTCCAAATTAAGTGTCTCAAATGACCAGGCCATTGCCTCCCTTGGTTCTGTGCACACACTAAACTCAGCTGGTTGGTTTTTGGCCTGAGGTCTGTCATGTAGTTTTAGTTATGTAGAAGCCACAGTTATGTAGCTGACTCCAGGATGGAGTCATCAGAAGGCTCGACTGGGCAGATATCCAAGATGCACTCACATTGAGGACAGCTGATGTCAGCTGCCAGATTACCCACGCTTGTGCCGAACGGGACCAGATCATAACACTTGGCCTCTCCACGTGGCTTGGGTTTTTCACAGAATGGCAGCTGGCTTCCCAAAGGGAACATCCGTCAGTGAGCTTTCTGAGAGAGCCAATAATGAGCCGCAAGCTTCTTATTACCTAGCCTTAGGAACCATAGCATATTACCACATTTTATTGGCCGAGGTCACAAGGACCAGCCCAGACACAGGGAGGCCTCAAAGGCATTGACAGTGAGAGTCTTTGGTGCCAGTCTGGCTATAAGCAAATATGTTATCTTGGGGACTTGGAAGAGTGCTTGCCTAGCATGTATGAAGTCCCAGAATTGAAAAAAAAAATGTATATTTCAAATGTGATATCCTCGAAGACAACCTACCTCTCAAGGACCTTCCTTTATCAGGGAATTTACTGCACTGCTGAGCCCTGAGAACAGCTCAAGATTAGCTGGATTTGGAGGAGGCTGGTGGTAGCAAGGAAGGAGAAAAACAGTCTTATCTGAGACCATGGTTAAGGAGTTAGAGTTGACAGAGATAATGCAGTATATAAAATGAGATAGGGAGATGGAGGGTTAGGAGAATACTGTGGAAAATCTCACCCCTCCATGCACTGGCTCCAAGTGTGTCGGTGTGGATTGACTAGAAAGGCAAGCACAGGGGAAGAAGTTGTTGCAAATGTTTTTGTCTGTTATTGAAGTTACTTATAATTCTAATGAAGATTGTTTAAAGGATGAGACAGTCACTTACCATCCTACCAACTGGACCTAAACACACATTTGCCTTTTCATGCATGTTTTGTGTCTATGGCTTCATGTTGCGTTGGGCACAGGCTCTCTGCCTTTCATCTGGACTCATCTTAGAAACGTTCCAATGTGAGTTGCTGCTTTTTGCCCACATGGTTTTAGAGCGTTTGTTCCACTCAGGCTGAGGGAGCTTGGCAATGGTCCAGTGAACCGAGCTTCATTAGGGAGGTGACTCAGGACTCCCGTGATGTTACCCTCACTGGTGCGTGGACAAGGCCCTAGGGAAGCTGGATTTGATAATTCCCATTCTGTCCTCTAGCCTGACTACCCTGTCAGGGATGAAGCCCTTAGGGTGCTCATGAATGCTCATGACTGCCAGAGGAAACAGTCATCCTTAAGGAAGAGGTAAGAGGAGGAGTTTTCCTCTTTTTCTCTTCCACCTTCCAAGGAACATGCTTGTTTTTTAAAAAATGGTTAACTCGGACACAAAGTTTTAGACTTCTTCTTGTCTCTATAAGGGCTTACATTTCATCTGAGAAGGGGGATTTAATTTTACTGTCATGGCAATATTTAGGGCAGGAATCTGGTTGCTTCTTTTTTAGACACTGAGATGCCAGACTTGGCATAGTCTGGAGAGGCAGAGGGCACCCCACACTCTGCAGTGTCCTCTGCTGTCTGCCCACTACATCCTGTCTGCCCCTCTTCAGAGACCACCTCACATTGTCCTTTGTCTTCCTAGCAGCCTCCCCCCTCCACAGTCAGTTTCTGACCCTTTAAACCCTGGCTGTTTGCTCAGTCAAATTCTCTCGGGAGACAACATGCATTATGAATGGTGCGTGGGCTGGAAGTCAGGATACTTCAGAGTATGTCCCACTGTCCATCTTTTTGACCTTGGTTAAATCTGGCAATCCCCTGGCTCCGGCTTTTCCAGATCATTCCAGATCATTTCTTCCAGCAGTGAGTTTGCAATCCGAGTCCTTTTGACCTTTAGGGTCATACTCGACACAGTTCTATAGAGTTCTGGAAGCTTGCCGGGCCACTCATGTTCATTCCCTCCCAATAACCTTGAGTCTTCTTGCTCATAAGATACCGTTTCTAGACAACGTGGAAATGTATGGTGTGACTGAAAACATGGATTGGCCTCCTTTCCCTGTCCTGCCTCTTATCACTCTTTCTTCATCTGGTAAGCAGGCTCACACTGTTCTTCCTTGGTGTTGATGCTCCAAATCTCTTCTTAGGATAAAGTACAACAAACAGAAGCAACCGTCTGATGGCCGGACTTCAAACACTCTATTAATGCAACATGCAACATCCCAATCCCAGCGCAGGGCCCCAGACTGATTTGGCTCTCCTTTGATGAGCTAGAGAAGTAAGGCAACTGCCCTCTCAGAGGGAGGAGTGATTAGCTGGAGGGCTCCAGAGTCCCTGCTAGCTCTATCACCAGAGGCTGAAGAACAGCTACAAGGACAAATGCTCAGCCCTAGAAGTCCATGTTTGCTCAGTTCAACATTGTGCAAGATTCTGCTGCACTACCAAGATTACAGAAGCAGTCTTGAGGGAGATGGGCATGATTTGGT